ACTTCTGAAATATTTTTGAGTGAGGGAGACAGAATCTAAAGGTCAAAATAAAGAGGAAACTCTTGCTTAGTAAGGTTGCTGTTAAAGGATCAGCAAAAGTTGGAGAAACTCAGCAGGTCAGGCAGCAACTGCACAGAAAGAGAAAAACTGAGTTTAATATTTCAGGTCAGTGAGTTTCCTCAGCACTGGACAAAGTTAGGGGCGTAGGATGTTTTAAACAAGGACAGAGCCTGGGAAAGATGAGTCCAAGTAAGAACAAATGGGAAGGTCAATGATAGAACAGAAGGTAGGAGAGATTGTCCCTCGCTGTCCAACCTCCTCAGTGTATTACCATGTTATGGTTTTTCTTTCATATTTTCAGCATCTGCGGTATTTAATTTTGTGTAAAATTGCTCTTGTTTTCCAAATAAATTTTGCAGGAAAAACGTAATATTACCTCGATCATTCTCAACAGGTTTCATGGTTTCCAACATAAATACAGTCATTTTATTCTCTCAAAAACTTCCACTTTCTGCAACAATTCAAACTGTGATGTTATAAATTTTTGTCACAGTGATGGTTCAATCAAACATCATTTAAATGTGACTGCTCCAGTTTGCAAAGACTTCATATTAATTCAGTCTGCACCCAGGAATGGATCCTGCTGGTCTGGCTTTCAGAAAAGCTCTACTCCTCTGATTCTGCAGGATTCTTGTAAGTCATCTGCATCATGTTGGAAAATCAGGTATGGCTCAGACAACATGCCAGGACGGTCACTGGGAATCAGGGAGTTCAGAACCTTGAACTGATGCAGAACTATCACTGGTGAGGGTTGAAGGGTGCACATGAGCCAAGGTAGATTATTCTTTGAAGTGGGCTATAGGAGTGGTGATGGCTACTGCATTTTTCTTTATTCTCGCAAAGGATGTGGGTATCAAGGGCAAGACCCATCTCTAATTGCCCTTGAACTGAATGACTTGTTCCATCATTTCAGTGGACTGTTAAGAGTCAAACACATTGCTGTGGGTCTGGAGTCACATGAGGGCCAGACCAGGAAAGGACGACAGATTTCCTCCCCTAAAGGACTTCAGTGATCGAGATAGGTTGCTACAATAATAATTTTGTGGCACCGTTTATATTATTAGTTGTATTGTTATAATAATTTAAATGCCATGGTGGGATTTGAACTCATGTCCCAGAATATTAGCCCAGGCTTGTGGATTACTAGTCCAGTGGCATTCCAACTACACCACCACCTCCCAATAACAGTTTGTAAAAGGGCAAGCTCATTCTGGGTGTCAGAAGTTTAAAGTACGCATCAGAAGATGGAGACTGAGTCAACAGTGGTCAAGATTAATGGCAAGCAAGACTTGAGGCAGGTTCCAATACAGACATCAACTCTTTCAACGTGCTCAAGTATGTGTAAGGTTGGAGACTGTGGCTGTTGCAGTATTGGAATAATGGAATCTGGAGGGGACAAGGCTGAGGGTCTCAGTGGTGGACCTGGGTGAAGGAATAGCATGTGAGTTAGAAGGTCAGCTTGGAGTCAAACAAAGGCCGTGAGAAGTGTGGCTGAACATTGGTCAGGAAGGAGGATGGATTTGGAGTGGGGGAAAGAACAGAGGCTGAGTTGTGGAAGTGCTTGTTCACAAGAACGCAAGACACTGGGATAGAAGGCCATTTGGCCCATTAAGCCTGCTCTACCATTTAATACGACCATGGCTGATCTTGGGCTTCAGTTCCATTTTCCTGCCTTGACCCTATTCCTCCTGGTTTTAAAATGCCCCCACCAAGGGGGACAGATGAGGCAGAAGTCGAGGACAGGTTCTTTAGAACCTCTGGGCCTTCAATTTCCAAAGCACTGCCTGGGCTGAGTCCTGCTCCTCCTCAGTAATAATAGTCTCCCACAATAACCTCTGATGTCTTTACACCATTGAACCCAGCAACTTTAGCCTCACTACAGGAGTGTGTTAACACCAATAAGTCGATACACTTTTGAGGATCAAGGCTGCAGTGGTCCTTTAGATTCAGGGTGCTAATCTATACAATATCCTTCCTTACTTCATCTGACAAATGTACTGAATCAAATAACATCAGGGTGCTTTAACTAATTGAATGTTTCCGCAGTGGTGCAATTCCTGAACAATGTGCCCATTGTAACTGCACCTGAAAAGATTAAAGACGCGGAAAGTTTAGAATTGATCCTTTTCAGAGTCTATACTTCAATGAGGAAGATACACTAAAATTAATTTATTTAGAAAGCAGTTGATATATTCAAAATAACAGGAGTCTATAGACACTTACACTGGCAAAACCCCACTAGTTAGTGACTAATGAGGTGTTAAACTGACCCCTTTAGCTGAGCAATTAACAGCTGAGCTTTCAGTAAAGGTGGAAATAGGTGTCATTAATCTGCAGTTGAAGTGTGTGCTGTGTGTGGACTGCAAATCTATACAATTAGTAGAGCAAGCATCCAGAGAAATCAAGAGGGAAGAGACTGGGGAGAAGGTGAGCAGCGAACTTTAAAAACTACAGCTAAGGATCTTCACAGTGGTCAGCTATGGCTGCAGATATCCCCTCCTGAGTTGATTTAATGTTATAATAGAAACAAGACTCTTTATTCTGTCAGTGTGCGAAACTCACTTTGGGAAGCCATTAGCCTTAGAGGCAGTGGTGGTTTTAGATATTTTTAAATCAATCTGACCAGGCACCTCTTAAGCAGGTGGGACTCAAACTCAGCTCTTTACAACCAGAGGTAGGGACACTACTACCATGCCACTAGAGAAGCTCCTTAAGTGTTGTTTCACTCTCTCTCTCTATCCACTCTTGGAAATGACAGAGACTAGTTCCCCTTTGTCAATATAAAAGCAGAAGACGGGACACGGGTATGAACCTCCTGAGACTGGATTCAGCTCAACAGTAAAAATTTCCAGGGCTTTGAGGGAAGACTCGGGGTGTGGGCCTAACTGGATAGCCAGACTGGCACGATGTGCTGAACAGCCTTCTTCTGTGTATTCTAAGATAAGAGCAATAATATCAGCAAAACACGGTATACCAGTTACATGGACACTAATTTTGATGGCACAGGCTACAGCGGAGGTGGCAAAGAAAAGGGACTGTCAATGTAGCTCTCCCCTTTTTTACCTTATTTGCTTTTTAATTATTACGTATTTTGTACAAGTTTACATCAAAAAAATTAACAAAAAACAAGTTGCACAACAGTACAACAGAATCACTGGGGGGGGGGGGGGGGCGGGGGGGGGGGGGGAAGCGTGTTCCCATTCATTGAAAGATCAAGAATGATGGGTTTGAACTTAAAATGATTTGTAAAAGAAGCAAAAGCATCATGAGAACTAACTTGCTCATACAGCAAGTGGCTAAGGTTCAGAATAATCGATTGCCTGAGATTGTGATGGAGGCGGTAGATTTGAAGCATTCAGAATGTAATTTGAGAGTTGCCTGAAAAGGAAGAATGTGCAGGATGACGGGGAGGAAGCAGGGGAATGGGGCCAAGTGAGATGCTCCTTTAAAGAGCTATCACGGTCACGATGGACCAAAAGGCCTCTTTCAGCACTACAACAATTCAGTGATGACTTGTCATTGGTTTTCTTGTGATTTCTTTCAGCCTGCAAGTAATATATTGTCTTAGAGATACAAGAGGCCATGTGTTTAAACAATCTTAAACACACAGAGAAAAGTTCATTTTTGATCAGAAACTCATAAGCAAACACCTTAAAACAGATATTGCAGCTCTAACTCTTAGAAGGATCAAGAGTTAGATTCAACAAGATGGCAAATGATTCGCAAACAATGTCACCAATGTTAGGCCCCAAAGTATTGACAATATTCATATTGATTTTTGCTTTAAATATAAAAAAAACTTACTTGAAATGCTCTCAATCTATCTAGGAAACAAACCAAAGAAGTGGAGAAACTTGTAGAAGCCACACTGCTTCTTTACAAATGTAAAAGAAAGATTATTCTGGAACAGCCCAAAATAGCAAAGAGTGGAATGGAATGGAAGAACCCTAGATGTAGTGAGTGACTTGGGATGATACAACCAAACTCCAGAATGAGAAGGTTCTTGGGAGAGAGAAAACAAGAGAAAAAAATCTTCAAAACAAAATAAATTAAGGGAATAAAAATGGAACTTCATTCACATCAAGTGCAAACACCACATGTTACACAATAAACATCTGTCAATCTGCACTCATCTAAATGCTTCGAGATTTACCATTAAGAAATCATGTTACACATCCTTATCTGAAAGTCATCTCATCTCCCACAGTTTGGTGCTAGAGGTGATGGTGGGGCTGACTACAGGAAGTGATGATTTAAAACTGCCTTTGTAAATTCTTTGCTTGCACACTCTGCCAATTACCGTAATGTACACTACAGCTCAAACTGCTTAGGATTCTCGGTATCATATACTTTTTTTTCCTTGAAAATTCCAAAAATGAAAACAATAAAGTCTAGCAGACATGCACACACGCAACCAAGGAGTTTTCCGTAGCAAAGGTAATACCCAAATATTACATGATGTCCAACTCCAGAAACGTCGGATTATAGATTTTAGTTTTTCCTGCATATTAAAAGGGTTTAATTATGTTGGTCGGGTTGTAAACATCTTCCAGGGAAAACAACTCTTCATACTGCTGCTATCTCCTCTCCACATAGCATCTGAAGCCAAACGATTTGTTCATCTGTAATCCTTATTCTTTTTATTTGTGTAGGGCATTGTCCCGTTGTCGTCAGCTGATCTGGAAGCATCATGGTGGGGAGAGGAAGCTGAGAAAGTCTTTACTGCAGAGCTGGTCTGAACACAGCAACAAGACTTGCCTTGCACTCAGGGCCCCTTCAACACAACAGCGCCTGTGGAGTCTTTGCGGTTAATTCCACTACATTTTTTTTCATTTAATTAAGAACAATTGTCATACCAGATAATTTAAACAAGTATATAGGGAACAGAGTCTTTATATAGGAAGGGGAGGGGTTGGGGGGGTGGGGGAAGCTGTCCCCAGCTACAGCCCTGTGGCGTCGTCTTTCTCGTCCATGTTCTCGGGTGTGGTACCATGGGTGCTGTCAGAGTCCGTGTTGAGATCATCATCTTCATTGAGCTCTTCATCCTGTGTCATGTCGTTCTCATCTTCTGCATCTCCGGATGTGACAGCGGGGTCTTCCTGGAGTGTCCCAGCCACCGAGACGGCCTCGTGGGGCTTTGTGCTCAGATCCAGCGAGTCGTTCAATCCGATGCCAGCAGGGTTTCGGAGGAAGAACAGGGAGCTGTCGACATTGGTGCTGAGATTTAGGGAGCCATCCAGGTTGAGGGAGGAGCCCTGGGAATCATACTCCGTCGTGGCGCCTGTGCTGTGCATGGCATCGCGGGTGGGCGAGGCAGATGTCGTTTCCCCACGTTCCAACTTCTCGTGTTTGCGCTTGTGAGAGTCCATCTGTGACATGCCCACCACCGTGTGTTTGCACTCAGGGTAGGTGCAGTGGAAATGGGAGCACTTCAGCTTGTATTTACAGTCAGGGACTTCACAGTCCACACTTGAACTGAACTGGCAGAAGCCTGCAGCACTGATCACATCTTGCTTGCCATGGTGTTTCCGATGGGCAGTCACCTTGGTGCTGTCTGTACAGCGGAAACCACACCGAAGGCAGTGGAAGTGGGTACTGTTTCCAGAAAACTGACAGTCCGCAAAATAGCACCTCAGCGAGGACTTAAAGCGTTTGAAGTCATCGAGAACGAGGTTGTCCACTCGGTCATGATGCTGGGCGTGTTTGTACATGTGAGTGCGGCCGCAGAACTTGTAGCCACAATTCTCCCGGGTGCAGTGGTAGTGGGTGACTTTCAGCGAGAATTGGCAAGAGGTGTCTTTGCAGTCTTCGTAGAGATCGTAGCGTTTGAAACCCTCCAGCATCATTCCTTCATCCAGCATTTTCCGGGAAGAGGCTGTCTTCCGTCGCTTTCCAAACGGAGACATGTCTTCGATGATCCAGAATCTTTTCTTCGCGCCAGAAGCAGTTGGAAGTGAAATCGTGTTCCCTGGAAGCAGAAAAGAACATCAAGAGGTCACAGTTCTAACTCTGTATTTAATTGGGATCAGATACATAGGAGAGTGTAACAATGGCATTATAGTTAGTGATGCAAACCGCCCTTTCTCTCAGCAACTGTGGGATCACATAATGAACTATGTTGAAAACATTGCACAAATTATACTAGACTCAAGGTACACCACAGAAATTTACACCTTAGAAACACACAGCTTGGACAAAATATCTATTTGGTCTTCATGCCTTGTCCCACCAAACTTCATCCAAGCAAATATATTCTCTCTGTCCAGCTTACTGAACTGTGCATTGGCCAGTTTTTAAAATATTCTTTAATGGGATGTGGGTATCACTGGCCAGGCCAGCATTTATTGTCCATCCCCTAATTGCTCTTGAACTGAGTGGCTTTCTCAGCCATTTCAGAGGGCACCGAGGAACCAACCACATTGCTGTGGGTCTGCAGTTAACACATAGGTCCAGACCAGGTAAGCACTGCAGATTTCCTTCCCTAAAGGACATTAGTGAACCAGATGGGTTGTAACAAAAATTGATGATAGCTTCCAAGTCACCAGATTTATTTTCTTTCTATTCCAGATTTAAATTCCACCAGCTGGCATTGTTTTCGAGAAGTAGCTAGATATAGTTTTTAGGGCTAAAAGGATCAAAGGATATGGGGAGAAAGTGGGAACGGAGGACTGAGTTGGATGATCAGCCCTGATCATACTGAATTGTGGTGCAGGCTCGAAGGCCTGAATGGCCTACTCCTGCTCCTATTTTCCAAGTTTCTTTGTTTCTATTGGTGGGATTTGAACCCATGTCCCTCAGTACTGAATTACCTACTCCTGTGACATCTGAATCAGGCCGTAAAATAAAAGAAACAGAAAAGGACACAAAATGATGTTGCACTTGTCTACTTGCTTGAAGTCAGAAATCACACGAAACCTGAAGAAGGACTGAGGCTCTGAAAGCTTGTGGATCAAATAAACCTGTTGGACTATAACCTGGTGTCGTGTGATTTCTGACCTTGTCCACCCTAGTCCAACACCAGTATCTCCACATACTTGCATGAAGACAGGTGTAAGTGAAGAAATATTGACACTGGGGAGGAAGAAAGGAGACAACAGTGAGTCTTGTCTATCTGTGGAATTAATTTTGGAGGTCCTGATCGGTGATGCCAACACGCAAGCTGCTTTATTCCTACCATTTTTCTGTTGTTCTGAAGCACCTCCTATCTCAGCAACTCCCACAACACAAAGTCCTGACAGTGTCATCACTGGGCACATCTTCTTTCCATTGGTGGGGCATCTTGTTTGGGGGGCACGGGACACAGGCCGGACCTTGTGATAATGCAATTGCTGACTTGGGCACCAGAACTCACTCAGGGCCTGTCCCAGAGGAAGTTACAATGGTCATGCAAAAGGAGCAGAGAATATAGGAGAACAGGCACTCGGTGGATCTGCTTCAAGCGGGGGTCTAGAGGTCAGGGGGTTATGCTGAGCATAAGAACATCTTAAAAGTTATTCCACTTGATCTCTATTGTTGAGTGAGAACAGTATCAGTTGTTTGTCATGCTGCCTACATTGGAATAGTCGTAAAAATCAATTTCAAATAATTATGAAATTAGATAACGAGCTCCACCATGAAGTGGATAGATAGCCCTGAATACTCTCCCCGCCTCTCCCCATTACTGTTTCTGCTGTTGAGACGCATACACATTTCAATGCAAACAAATAGGACATTTCCCAATAATTTTCATAAACGTTTCAAAATCAAAACAAACTCCAAACAGATATTTGCTGCAAAACCAAACAAGGTAGAAGTCAGCACCACCTCATGCACCAGGCTCCTTGCTCAGTCAGATATTCAAACACGCTTCAGACACAAGGATAAGGCTACCCACAGCCTGCGGCTGGGGTGTTACAAGATGTGAACACTGCTGCTGCTAATACCATTGTTATTGCTGCCATTAATTGTCCCCAGAAGACATGTCTTACAGAACCCACAAGGAGACCAAGGCCTGTCTCCCTTTCCAGGTGAATGGGAAAGAACAGAGAAGTTTTCCCTGATCTTTATCTATCAACCAACATGAGTAAAGCCACTTACCCAAGTGCTCTTTGTGTGCAAATTGGCTGTCACATTTCCTACATTCCCACAGTGACTAGAATCACTGAATTATTACAGTGCAGAAAGAGGCTATTCAGCCCAGTGTGTTTGCATTGCCTCTCCAAATAAGCATTGTGACTTAGTATCATTCTCCCACCTTCTCCCTGTAACCCTAGATTTTGTTTCTTTACAAATAACAGTCCAACTCTATCTTGACTTATCACCTCGTTTGAATCTGCTTCCATCACAGTCTCAGGCAGCACATTCCAGGCACTAATCACTCGCTGTGTGAAAAAGATTTTTCTTCTGTTCTTTTTGCTTCTTCTGTTAACTACAAGTCAGAAATATCTTGTTGGCTGTAAAGGGCTGCCCTAAAGTCATGAAAAGTACCATATAAATGAAAATTCTTTTACACCTTTGTGGCTCATTGGGTCAATTTAGACACTACTAAGAAGCAACCAGAACAAAAGGGATGCCAAACTCTATTAGTGATACAAATAGGAGTTAGGGTAATTCAGCAGCTTCCAGTCCTGCAGCAGTGATTACACCTCATGACTACACTTTGGGATGTGCAGAGATGTAACATGCTACAAAAATGCAATTCAATTGATGATCATTTGTTTTTGATAAGAGCCAGTTATTATGCCTTTTCTGAAAAAAAAAGTTGCATTTAATTTCAGAACTTAGGAGAGAATAGTGTAATCAATCTGAAACATTAACTCTGTTCTCTCTGGAGAGGGAAACAATCTGGTGTTTCCAGCACTTCCTGTTTTTACTTTGAGGCCTTATAACTTCTGGCTTGTTTGCTCAGTAAACACCACACGACTGGACCCATATTGTTACAGAACAGGTAGGAGTGATAGAAAAGAATAAAAATATGACAAACAAAAAGACACACTCAACAAAATGGAATTTGCTGCATGTTTACACACTGTTATCTAAGCCATCATACCCTCTACATTTTACTGAAATTTCATAAAGTCATTCAAGAAACTGACAGGAGGAGATGGCTCCACAAATATCCCCATCCCCAATGATTGGGGAGCCCAGCACATCAGTGCAAAAGATTAGGGTGAAGCATACACAACAATCTTTTAGTAATAAATGTTGAGTGGATAATCCATTTCAGCCTACCCCTGTCGTCCTCAGCAACACATACCAGTCTTCAGCTAATATGAATTTCTCCACTTGATATCAAAAAATAGCTGATGGTACTGGATACTGCAAAGTCCATGTCTAAATGTGACAAAACTGGACAATGTCCAGGCTTGGGATGATCAAAGGGAACTGACATTCAAGCTGCACAAATGCCAGGCGATGACCATCTCTGACAAGACAAAACTTAAACGACAATCACTGACATTCAATGCCATTACCATTGCTATCTCCACACCCCCTAAACCAACATTCCGGGGGTCATTTGGCCAGAACTGAACTGGACTCACCATATAAAAACTGTGGCTACAAGAGTAGGTCAGATGCTAGGAATCCTGCAATGAGTAACTCACCTTCTGTCCCCTTAAAGCCTGTCCACCATCTACTACAAAAGTCAGGAGTGTGATGGAATATTCCTCACTTGCCTGGATGAGTGCAGCTCCAGCAACACTCAATAAATTTGACACCATCCAGGATAAAGCAACCCGCTTGATTGGCACCACATCCACAAATATCCACTCTCTCCCCCACTGATGCTCAGTAGCAGCAGTGTGCACTATCTACAAGATGCACTACAGAAATTCACCAAAGATGCTCAGACAGCACATCCCAAACTCATGACTACTTCCATCCAGAAGGACATAAGCAACAGATACATCGGTAAACCACCACCTGCAAGTTTTCCTCCAAGCCACTCACCATCCTGACTTGGAAATCCTTCAGTGTCACTGGGTTAAAATCCTGGAATCCTGCACCCCCACCCAATGGTATTGTGGGTCCACCTACAGCACATGGACTGCAGTGGTTCAAGAAGGCAGCTCACCACCACCTTCTCAACAGTAACTATGGATGGGCAATCAATACTCGCTTTAATCATTGTTAAGAATGAAGGAACATGATGTGTCGAGTAAGTCTGAGTGAACATGGGAAACAGCAGTGAGGGACTTTTGGTTAAATGTAACACAGATTTAATTTTCCAAAAATTCACTTGATGCAGTTATCGCGTGCTAGGCCAACACTTATTGGCTAGTGTGCAGCTAAGAGCCAACCACATTGCTGTGGGTCTAAGCACAGCAGATTTCCTTCCTTAAAGGGCATTAGTGAACCAGGTTGGTTTTCACAGTAACTGACAGTGGTTTCACAGTTGCCATTAGACTAGTTTTTCATTCCAGATTTTTATTGGAATCAAATTTCACAATTCACCATTGGTGAGATTTGAACCCCAGATCATTAACCTGGGATTCTCGATTTCCTGGTCCAGTGGCATTACCACTGTGCCGCCACCTTTTCTCAACTAAACCTCTGTATTCTCTCCCCGAGAATTGGACCATGATTTCTTCATTGCCAACTCTAGTGAATAAATAACAATGTTGAAATGTAATATGTTGTTAGAATTTTTTATCTGACTGTGTTTAATTTTGATCTGAAGCTAGCTTATTGTAATAATTAAAATTAATGCATTAACCAATTTTAGCAAAGAAAGAATAATAAAGCCTGTTTAACAAAAACAAACAAAGAACTGCAGATATTGGAAATCAGAACTAACATTAGAAATTGCCCAAAAACCTCGGCAGATCTGGCAGCATCTGCAGAGAGAAAGAAGAGTTAATGTTTTGAGAAGTTCTGAAGAAGGGTCATTGGACCCAAAACGTTAACTCTGCTTTCTCTTCACAGATGCTGCCAGGACTGCTGAGTTTTTCCAGTAATTTCTGATTTTGAATACAAAGCCTATTGTTT